TTTCTTTTCTTTTCTTTTCTTTTCTTTTCTTTTCTTTTCTTTTCTTTTCTTGAAACTAATCTCTACACTCAAAATGGGGCTCAAACTCACAACCCTGAGATCAAAAGTCGCATGTTCTACTGACTGAGCCAGCCAGGCACCTCCATTTGCCTCTTAATTAGAGTCCTTTACTTTTGATTGCGCTTTATGTAAGACAACATAATGTATAAATTCTTCCTATTTATGCACTTAAGTTTAAATCAGAGGGCAACATGAATGCTAAATCCTACCTGTGCGCTTTGATTGTTTTTTTCCTTGATTGAAATATCAATCTACCTATTTTTATAACTGGGTAATGGACCAATGGTACATCTTGTTTGGAAATATCTGAATTATATTTTAAGGTACATAGTAAAGTAGGACTTTAGTATTACTGTGTTGCCTGTGATGGAATATCTTTGTCATGTCATTAGTATTCAAATCTGGATAAGGAAATATATTCAGGTACAAAAATGATTACTTAGCTTAAAATGAAACTATGAAGTTACTGAAAAAATACTGTAAGAGATATAAAAGGATATAGACATTGTAAAGCAAGTATATGGACACTCTCCCTTTTAGTTACAGGAATCATTAGTGAATATCCTCATTTTATTTTTTTAATGTTTGTTTGTTTGTTTGTTTGTTTAGAGGGGTGTAGGGGCACAAAGAGAGGAAGAGAGAGAATCCCAAGTGGGCTGTCAATCCAGAGCCTGATGCAGGATCCCAGGAACGCGGGAGATCTTGACCTGAGCCGAAATCCAGTCTGATGCTCAACCGACTGAGCCACCTAGGTGCCCCTTTAAATGTCCTCATTTTAAAAAGAAATTTTGGGACCCCTGGGTGGCTCAGTTGGCTAAGCATCTGAGTCTTTGTTTGGCCTTAGGTCGTGATTTCGGAGTTTTGTGAGTTCAAGCCCTGCATCAGTGCAGAACCTGTTTGGGATTCTCCGTCTCTCCATCTCTCTGCCCTTCCCCCACTTGAACTGTCTCTGTCTCTCTCAAAATAAAAAACAAACTTCTAAAAATTTTTAAAAGAATAAGAAAATTCTATTCCAAGGATATGTTTGTAATCATACCACTATGATGTAATATGACCTGGAGTTTTGGAACATTCTGGAGAGGTATCAGAAGAGTCCAAAAATTCTCTAGGGAGGTGGGCATTTCTCTCCCCATAAGGATTTTCTTTTTTATCATCTGCCACCTTCTGGAAAAGTACAGAGTGGGAGTTTTTATTCTGCCTACCCATTGCCCCATAGAATATGTAGAGGCATTGGAGTATGTCAGGAAAACCTATATAGGAATGTGAGCATGTTTTCATGTCAGAAAGAACTGGTAGCAATACTGCTGATAAGCACTGAAAGAATATATTCAAAACTCTGTCACAAAACCAAGATAAGCAAGCCTTCAGTCAGAATGTTATTTTCGCCAACAGAAACATTTTCCTTCTCCTTTGTGTATTTTATCTTTAGATTTTAAGTGATATTGACTTTAATGTTGATCAGTTTGAACGCCAGCCTCTAGAAGAAAATCTGCCTTATTCTCTGGAAGATGATGGATCTCAAAATTTTGTACCCATTTAAAGAACACAAGGTAACTTCATATTCATCTGTGAATGTAATAGATCTCCTCTGAAATGATTTTTGACAAAGTAAATAAACTCAAACAGAATATGTGTGATAGGAATAGAATTTTCAGAATACAAAATATGAATGTTATGATGCTAGTGTCTGGCCAAGTCAGTCTATATCCCTGGATCAACATTTTGTAGGAGGAAAATACAAGCGAAATATTGACTTTCTGTGTGCCTTGTTTTCCTCATCTGTAAAATAAGAATGATACTGGTACTGACCCATAGAGTTATGAGTACCATATGAGATGAAGTATACATAGCAAGCAAGTCATAAACATAAATATTATTGCTCCAAGATTTTTTAAGTAAGCATTTTTTCCTGAAATAAGCTCTTTGCAAAATAAATAGAACCATAAGAAAGATCAGTAAGTTTAGAAGAATATTGATTTCTTTCCTAAGCCTTTAACCCATAAATACCAAATTACAGATTCAGCATACTTCCAGATACATCTTAATACCAAACTACAATTCTCCTTTTCAGCAGATATAATCTCTTCAAAGCAAGTATTGATTTCCTACCATTTCCCAAGTATTCTCCTTGGAACTACCATTTGATATATAATTCCTACAACAATCATTTGTATTGTTGTCTCATTTTATTGATAAGCCCACTAAAGCCCAGATGGCTAATTTGCCTGAAATTGCATTGTTTAGTGGGCAACAGAGAACCCACACAAACTGCTTTTGGTTTGTTTATTCTTGATAGATGCAAATTCTTCCCTTTAGTCACTAATATTGTGGAATAAAAATGAAAAGATTATATTTGCAATAAATAAACAACATTCTGGGACATCTGGGTGGCTCAGTAGGTTAAGTGACGAATGTTGGTTTGGGCTTGGGTCACGATCTCACAGCTCTTGAGGTCATGTCCTGCATCATGCTGTGTGCTGACAGCAAGGAGCCTGCTTGGGATTCTCTGTCGACTTTTCTCTCTATCCTTCCCCTGCTTACTCCCTCTTTCTCTCTCTCAAAACAAATAGACATTTAAAAATAAAGTAAGTTCTATTTAAAACTGTAAATGGGATTCCATGATTATTAGTCATGTTATATTTCAAAAATAATACATGTTTATGTCATGTGTGTATTGAATATACCATTATTTAGATGTAAATTAAGTCACTGTATTATTTGTAACAGGCTCATCATGCTATGGTAACAACTCCTGAAAATATTAGTGTCTTACATAATAGAAGATTATTTCTTCCTCACTCACATCACATTCTGATACTACCTCTAGAACACATGGCCTCCAAAACCCAGACGTCAGAGTAAGACAGAGTGGAGGCAAAATGCCCATTCTTAATTGCCACAACCAGGAATGGCACATGTAACTTCTCAGAATCCACTGGTCAGAACTAGACATGCATTTCTATCCATCCTGCAATGAAGCCAAAAACAGGAGAAATGGAGCATTTACTCTCTTTGCAACAATAACAGTGTCTGATAGTGATGTAGTAGTAGAGTGAATATGTGGGGAGAGAAGAATTTGAAGGACAGTCAAGTGAAATTATGCAACTCTTATATTTTGAGTTACTAACACCAAATAATATTTTATCTTCAGATATGGGTCTTTGAAACATCTCCTTCCTGAACATCGATGTATATACTTCATCTAACAAATCAAATTCTTACTCTATGTTCTATACACATGAGTTTGGTTCTACTATGATGGCATCTGTGGATTATATCATGTCTACCAAAGGAAATGGATAACAACAGCTCTGGAATTTGAATTTCTTTACTTTCACTAATAAATCTCTCTTGCAAGCATACAATTTGTTGACATGTTTATTTAATTTCCAGAGGATTTACCTACAGCAGTCAAGGTTATTATTAGTAGCTTGGCTTGCCCTTAATGTCACCATTTGTTTTTATCATACATGTATCACATACGGTGTCACACCCTTTACCACTCTCTAAGTGTAGCTCATTTCTTCTGCAAAACAAAAGACCCAACAATAGCAAATCATAGACTAAGTAACATATCTAAAGGAATAAGACCCCACCATGATATTCTCTAAGCTCTGCTCCAAAGATATCCATTAAGTAAATAGCTTTTCACTCTCCTTTGTGCCAGGAGCTATTCTAGATACTGGAAACATAGGTGTGAACTAAAATAGCAAGGAGCCAACTCTCACTGAAACTACATTACAGTGGCACTAAGCAGAAGATAAATAAATAAGAATTTATTTCATTCGAAGAAATTAGGATAAAACAGATGCTAGAAAACTAGAACATGGTCCTGTGACAGGGAGTTTTGGAAGATTTCAAAATACTTTGACACAAAAATTTAAGCATTGTTAATAATACACTTTTGTGTAGGAGCACATTATCTGGATCTTCTCAGTGAATCAGAGAGAAATGTTTAATTGGATACCTCTTAAGATTCTCTTTGTCATATATGATATATATAAAAAATGTTAATGTCTCGTGGGTCATTCAGTATGTAAAATACAGTAAATCTCCGTAATTTTTATCCATTTGCCAGAAAATTACCTTCACTTCATTCCTTATTTATTTATTTATTTATTCAGTGAATATTTTTGAGTGTCTGTTACACATCATGCATGTAATAGAGGTGCTGGAGATAATCATCTATGGCAGTAAAACAAAGTTCCTTTCCTTATGCACCTTATATTCTGGAGGTGCACTCGGGCAACAAACAAGTAATTTGCAATAAAATGTATGTATTTTTAAAACCTATGAAGAAAAAAACATAAAACAAGTTAAGCTGGCACAGAGCCTGTATAATTTTGGAAGTCAAAGAGAGCTTCCTTGAGCAGGTGAGGGTTGGGCAGAGAGCTGGATGGAGGGGAGAAGTAAGTCATATACAACTCTAGGAGAATACTCCATCAAGAGAGAACTGAAAGTACAAATGCTCCAAAGTAAGAAACAGCCAGCCAAGCTCAGAAAAAAGCCAGAACACTAGTGTGGCTAGAGCAGTGAACAGGAGAAAGAAAAGCAAAAGATAATGTGACAGAGAGGTATACACGTGCTGCATTTTAGTCTGACTTACAATCAGAAAGCATTAGAGTGCTTTTAGCAGAGTAGTGTCATGATTTGATGTTTACTTTAAAAATTACTTATTGGGGCCCCTGGGTGGCTCAATTGGTTAAGCGTCTGACTTAAGCAGGTCATGATCTGGAGTGTTGTGAGTTCAAGCCCCGCATCTGGCTCTGTGCTGACAGCTCAGAGCCTGGAGCTTGCTTCAGATTCTGTGTCTCTCCTTCTCTCTGCCCCTCCCATATTCATGCTCTCTCTCTCTCTCTGTTTCTCAATAATAAATAAACGTTAAAGTTTTTTTTTTAATTACTTCTGCTGCTGGGTGGACATCAGATTCTCTCCTGGAGGGATAAGGGTGAAACAAAGACCAGTTCCACAGTTACTGCAACAGTCTAGTGGAAGATTCTGATGGTTTGGCCTTGGATGGTAGCAGGTGAGATTATAAAAATGGAGATGGTGAAAATGAGAAGGCAGAGAAAGAATATTAGCTAATGGATTAGGTTTGGGGTGGGAGAAAAAGAGATTAAAATCTATTCTGATCGTGTGAAATAGGTGATGCTAGCAGACACTCAAGTAGAGATGTGGAATATGTAGCTGAATATGTGTATGGTTCTTAGGGAAGAACAGTGAAAAGTTCTATTCAAATAAAATTGTATTAGGTATATGATCTAGATTGGTACTTCTTAAGCCACCTTTTGGTGAACTTTGTTACAACTCTATAATGAAATAAGGATGCATCCAGATGCAAATCAACACACTGCTTCCTAAATTTGAATCCACTGACATCAGAGACCTTGTACTTCCATAACAAACTTTTAGCCTAAACTCCAACCAAATTCCCTAATCATGACTGAGCATGGTGGGAAGTAATAAATATTATCAATAACAACATCTTGTCTCTTCTATAATCTCCAGCTGTCTCTATCAGTCCTTTCCCACTTCATTCTCACTGACCCTGCCTCAGTTCTTCTCACTGAAAGGGACCTATTAGTAGCTCTCCCTGATTTCATTCTCCTTTCCACACACTTCTCTTTATCCCACTCAGTCTCTCCAGAATGGCCCTTCTCTCTTCAATCTACTCTCCATTGATGGGAAGGGATCTTTCTAACAAAAACTTAAATACATTTGCAATTTTTGCATTAAAATGTTTACAGTAACTCTTGACTGCATTCTTGGGCTTTTATTTATGCTTGTCCCTATCTTCTCCCTTACATTTTATGGTCTAACTCTCTTCAAACTGATCTTTACTTTCAATGCAGTCATAAACAAAATCCAATTGGGGTTCTTTGGGTAGAACTTGATTAACGTATTTATTTTTAAAATTTATATGGAAACACACAACATAGAGTAGCTGAAACAAATTTGAAAAAGGAAAACAAAATAGAGAATGTATATTAGCAAATTTTAAGCATATTATATAAGGCAATATGTGAATATGTAAAGATACCATGGAATAAAACAGACTCCAAAAATAGGCCCACATATATCTTGTCATTTAATCATTGACAAAGTATTGATTTTCATAAGAAAAAATGAATGTTTTAATTAATAGATGATGTTGAAAGGAATGGATATCTGCATGAAAAAAATAAACACTGTCTTCTACTTCACAACACATAAAAATTAATTTGCATTATATCATAACCTTAAAGTCACGCTAAAAGATAAAACTTCTGGAAGAAGACATAGAAGCTATTCTTGACCTTGGGTAGGGTAAAGATTTCTTGGACAAAATGAGTAAAGCACAAACAACAAACTTGACATACTGGAATCCACTTAAAAGGGCAAAAAGACTTTTCATTAAATATCATCATTAAGAACATGAAAACTCAAACCATATATCAGGAAGAAAAAATATATGAATATATATCAGTAAATATAAATCAATATTTATGAATATAAATTTATATAAACCTATGTTTACATAAATAT